CTTAGGCTGGCGTGGGAGCCTATTCCCTTACAGGACTTGTTATTGCCTAATTTAAACTTTGCGTAATGTGGGGTTTTTGTTAGTAATGATAGGTTTTAATGTAAGCGTTAGAGTTGAGATTTTTATTAATATTACCAACTACCCGAAAATTCAGTTCAGTATAACAAGACTGTAAAGTTCGGGCGAAAACACCCTAAATAACATTAAGCAATAATACTCTCATAATTCCATCTAATATGGAAACCTTTCATGTGAATAACACATAATATTGTGTAATATTTTATAAGAATTATTATAAGATATATAAGATAATGTGTGAAACATTTAGCCATACTGGATATTGTTTTGCCGACAATACTTATTTAGTCCGATAATTAGATAATTTTCTATATAAAAACCATTAAAATCTTTTTTTAATTTTTTTTTTTTTTAAAAAAAAAAATCATCTTTTACTGTCAAAATTAACAAAAAAAAAAAAAAAAAAAATGTCACTTTACGCTCTTCCAGCAGCAGTCATAGTTGCTTATTATCCACATTTTGTTAAGGGTTATCTTGTTTCAAAACAAACCGGTAAATGGAATAATATTAGTCCAAGAGATAATGTTAATAAAGCGGAAAAACAAATGACCCAAGATGTTTGGCGTAGAGCAAAACGTTGTGAATCCGCTCATCAGAATGGATTAGAAAATTTTCCAATTTTTGCTGCTGCCGTGGTAACAATTTATCATTTCCGTGAATTTTTTCTTTTTCTTCTTTGAAATCATCCTTTAAAATTCTTATTATTGTTGTAAATAGATTGTCGCTAATATGACAGGAGTACCGGTTTCCACGGTCAATTTCTTATCAACCTCCTATGTCATCACTCGAGTCATTTATAATTTTATTTATATGAATAATGAATCGGCTAGTGTAGCTGGTTTACGTACTTTGACTTGGGGTGTCTCTATAGGAATCTCTTTTACTTTATATTTTCTCGCTGCAAGAAAAGGTTTATCTCCCTAATTAAAATTAGCGTAGTTAACGTAGCATAAAATTGGTTCGAGTTATCATTTTTTTTTTTTTATGAACATTTTTGTGAGAATGATACAAAGCATGAAAAAATTAGCATCATACATACATATATAACACTAATTCTAAATAAATTCTCGGGAAAAAATTTCAGCAATTTTCTATTAATGTTTTTACATTTGTATTAAAGATCAAAATCTTTTTACATCAATTTTATCAATTTTTGAATTTTTAAGATCTTACCACTTTAAATTCTTCCTAAAACTTTTAAATCTTTTATTATTTTTATTTTCTTTTAAAAAAATAAAAAAAAAAGTATCATCCTCCCAATTCAATAAAGAGATATCGGTTGGCTTTATCATTTCTCCTGTCCGAATCCAATGGTTCCACTGTACCAAATATTTCTTTAAATCTATTTGGAAGATGTTCATTGAAAAAATTTCTTATACAACTATAACCGTTTGATTCATGATCACTGATGGTACAAAGTATTTGATAGGTTTTTGATGGTGTTGGCGTTTCAAATCTTTTAATCTTCCTCAACCTTTTAAACAATTTATCCGTCTCACCCGTGACACAATCACATCTAATTTTTGGTGTATAATTGCACTTAAGGTCTTCCACATCAAGATGATGTAGGTTAAGAACATATTCATGATGTTTCTTATAAAGTGCTAATATCGTTTCATTTGACAATGTTTGAAAAGCAGGATCCTCCTTGAATTCGATAAAATCGTCAATGACCAATTTAGATGCTTCCTTGAATAATTTTTTGAGCCCATACTTTTCAGATAAGGATAGGAATAGTAGAGGACTCTCCTGAAATTTCTCCATCGCGAATGTCGTCGCGGACATAAAAATGACTTCCATTTTAAACTTTTCAGAAATTCTAAACATTTCAACGATATTAGACCAGTTAATGGTAATATAGACGGAAGGATAAATAAATGATAAAGCATCTTCAAAATCCTTTGCTGATTCGTTGTTAAGAGCGATTTCCATTATCCTTTGATCATTGATTGAAGTTTGACTCGCGTTGATGATCATTTCTTTAAATACGGTTGAAGCAAGACATAAAACATTCTTATGAACACAAAACTCTGTTAAATCCACGATGATGATAATGTCTCCATCAGGATAGAAATGGATTTTGCTTTTCATTTTTTGATATATGGTTATCTTGAGTTTGTTTTTTGCTATGTAAAATATGTAAAAGGTTAAAATGTCAAAATGAAAAAAAAAAAATCACAAAAAACCGAAAAACACGTTCTTATTATAAAAGGTCGGCCAATCAAATTCCATTGATTGTGTCACAATTATTGTAGTTCGAATTAATATGATTAAATATGATTAAATAAATTTATTACATAAAATGTTAGGTTACCCATTTAATAGTTATATATATATATATATATAGTTCGTGTTTTGAATTAATGTTATTAAAGTATTCATGTTTTCTGCTTTTGTTTCAGCATGTTTAAAAAATATCATCGCACAAAGTCCGTATTCGTAATTCATGTTCAACCTATTTAGGTTATCAAAAAGAATTGATTCAAGATTTCCAAATGTAAATTTAAAAAATTTGCTAACGCCATTTTGCCTTAATTAATCGATCAACCGTTTGGTCGATCGATGAAATTGATCATTATAAATTTTGATCAACAAGTCACAATTTGGTGTTACCGTTGATTTAGCTTCTTAAAATTCAATTTTTTATATAGATAAATAAAATTGGCAATTGAAAACTGGTACAATTGAACAATTGATAGGAATCGCCATCTTAAAATTAAAGTTAGTGTGTCGGGGTGAATATATATTTAGTAGCATTGTAGAGGCCTGTTCACCCGGTACCATATCTACAATACTCGTAATCCTCCAACCGATCGATGGATATTGAGCCTTGATTCGTGTTTCAAGTCTGTCAGCAAATTTTTCAAGATTCTATATCCTGAGATACGGAATTTACTACTAGTCAACTCTTTATATCTCCATATGGACTTTGCGTTGCTGTATATCCAAGAGAATTTCAATCCTATTGATGACTTTGGTTGCTTTCAACTGACAATGTACACGAATGGTATATTTTTTCTTCACAAACCAGAACCAAGTTATACCCCATGTGTCTAAGGAATTAATGCATTTGATTTAAACCTGTACCCACATGGCTATGGGTACCCGCTTAATTTGACTATATCATCATTTGGGAATATAAATCTCAATTTCATCTTTTAAATCAGCAAATTCGTCTACCAATGTAGCACCACTTCGTTCAGCAAGTTCTGTCTTTTTCCAAAAAGGGAATTTTGTAATATTTGTTTCGATATGAGAATTTCAGCACGGGATGATTTACACCTTGAAGAAGTAATATTAAAGGTTTTCTCGTTCAAAAGACATCGTCATTATGATAGAATTCCATGATATAATAAAAAGGCATATCAATAAAATATTCGTTACCATCAGGATGTGTGGGCTTAAGCATTGCAGCATTGGTTGGACCGAACATACTAACAAGCATTGTCTCTGGATAAGTAGTTAAGTCGAACGAGTGGTTCACGCTAGAATAATGTTGAACGTGTTAACTTCTTGCAATGTATGTTTGGCAATTTTAAGAATATTGCGGACTTACTCTGATTCCTCCTATATTCTGAATTAGTTTATCATTTTCTAGTTCAGATTTTTTATTAATATTTGAATTTTTTTCAAATTGAATAGTTTTTGAGTTTCCTTGAAGAATTCTGCCCTTTCAATTTAAGACCCACAAAGAAGAGTATTTTATAGAACATCGCTGTCGCCCATTGGTCAGATGATTCTGTCAACCAGTAGCACCGTAAAAAAGTAGCACTGCAATCTAACAACCACTAGTTTTTATCACTTTAACAACTGATTCATACATTCTATGTTGTAAAAGCTTTTTATATAATCCTTTGCTTTACTGCGGCACACACCCAGTTTCCAATTTTTTTTTTATAATACTAATAAAAAGAAAAAATAGGTTTTAGTGAAAGTTTTGACAATTCATGGTTGTATGAAATTTTTAAAAATGCCGTGGACTTACTATAATTCCGCCGACATTTAAAATAATCCTGTCGTTGGTTGAATCAGATTTTTATTAACATGGCGACTTTTATAAGAGTTTTTCCTATACGAGCTTCAATGTATGAGATGAATTTCTTGGAGAATCATATTTGAACAAATTGCAAACGAAAAAGAAGAATTTATACAAGATGGTTGTCGCACCAATTGGTCAGATGATTCTGTCAACCCCAGTAGCACCTTGTCAATCAACAGGACCCTAGTTATAACTTTAATCCGTTTCGTTTATAACAAAGGGCGTTACGTTTACTGCGACAAATAATTTTGATTTGCCGCAGACAATTATTTTATTTTGCAACTAAAACAAAATTTAAATTATTAACTTTCCTCACTCATTTTCTTCATTGTTTTCTGACTTATATTGTCCAGATTTCACATTGCTCATGACATTCTCAATCTTGATAAAGTCGGTGTGGTTGTATACATTTTTGTGGTAAATTGCTTCCAACCCGGTATCGGATTTATAACCATTCTCATCTTGCCAAACAATCGATGAAAATTGAAGCTCAATCCGTACTGAATTTACTACTCATCCCGTAACCAGATAGTTTCTGCCATGAACCACATCCATTTTCAAAACTTCGATTCTGTTGATGATTTTGTTAGTCACCTTCACAGTTCAATTCTAATAAATCAGCAAATTCGTTTACTAATTCAGCTCCACGAGCTCAGTTTTATTTTCCAATTCCAAAAAGGAATTTTAAAGTATTCGTAAATTTGTTCTGATTTATCCAGTTATAAACTTATAAGATCTTTACTGTAAATGCACTTACATTCCGTATTGGTCCGAATGAGTATGCATTTAAAGGGTTTGTCTGCAATTAATTAATTACAAGTATTCATCACTCATTTTTATATTGATCCGCCAATAATATTTTTAAATTGATAAAGTTGTACAATATCAAAGTTAATGTTGAGGTAGATATACATACAAGATTTATGTAAAAGTCTACCCTCCCGGTTTCGTATTTACTTTCACTCTGATGGATATTGAGCCATAATCCGTGCTGTAAGTCTGTCTGCAAAGTTTTTCAAGATTCCATATCCTGAGTTGCAGAATTTACTACTCAAATTATCATATTTCACACTTGGTTTCTGCCATGAACTAAATCCATTTTCACCAAATAGAATTTTGATTCTGTTGATGATTTTGCTTGTTGCCTCCAAAAGTTCAATTTCTAATAAATCAGTAAACTTGTTACCAATGCAGCTCCACTTCGTTCACAGCTCAATTTTGGGGGAATTTGAAAGTACTCTATTTCCCGTCGTAATATTTGTTGAGAGATGAGAATTTTAGCACAGGATGATTTATGCCTTGTAGAAGTGATTTTAAAAATTTTCTCTTCCAAATTGATATCACCATTACGAGAGATTCCATGATATAATAAAAAGCATAACCATTGCGATCAATAACATTTTCGTTACCACTGGATTAAGTTTTTTTTTTTTGGATCGAGCATTATGCCAAGCATTGACTCTGGATAAGAAATCAAGATTGAATGAGTGGTTTCAAACGTTGAATGTATTACAGCAATATATGTATAATAGTATTAAAATTATCGCGAGATTTACTCTAATTCCACCAACATTCAAAATTTATTCTATCGCCGGTTGGGTCACATTTTTATTAACATACAGACTTCTAGAGTATTGATTTGAATTTCTTCTATATGAAGAGTTCCTGTTTGAGTTATTTTATAAAGTATCCGCAAGCTAAACAAATATTTCTATATAATATTAAACTCCAATATTGATCCTGTTCCTATAAGGTGATCGATAAATATTTATATTTTTATTATTATTATTTAGATCAAATTTACGTCAATTTGTCATCAACTAGTAAATCTAATTTGCTCAAAAGTTGATATTTTATAGATTTGATATTCATTTACTGTATATTATATAAAATTTGGTTTAATTTGAATCACTAGTTATTAAGCAATTAAAATTAATTAAAATTATTTGTTTACATTGGTTCTCTCGATAACCTATGATTCAAATTGAATAAAATTTTTATATATATTGCGAACATATTTACAAAATATAAAAATATTCATAGAGTTTGAATCATACGTTGTTGAATAATTCAATATACAAAATACCGTTCAGAAACTTTTGGTAACCCTCTGTAGAATATCTGGATATATAGAACCTAAGTAAATATAGGTGGATAATCTATCAGTTAGACCTATTATTTATCATTAAAAATTTACAGTATATGATAAAAGTTCAATTTACTTTTTAAAATAAATTATTTTCAAAGTTCAGATTTGGTATAAATTTGTCTAATCTTACTATTTGCAAATTAAATAAAAAATAATTGATTATATAATTATAAAAATTAAAACGATTTATATTAAATTTATTTATAATTTTTCCTATTCTTTCAAAAATATGAATAATGATAATAAAATATTCTTTGATATTAACATCAAAAATTTATTAAAATGGATTTTTATAATAAAGAAAATAGAATTTATTAATTTCTGCTACCTCTATTAAGATGGATTTTTATAAAACAAGTAATCAAATATCTTTATAAAAAACTTTATTTAGTATCTGAAATAATAAGTCATTTATTATTTGTTAAAAGAAATCATTTATATTATAAAATATGAAATTAATAAATAAATATACTTTATTAATTTTATTCAGAAAAAAATTAAAAAAATCAAAATACATATTTACTTTAATTAAAGTAGCAATTTTGTTTAAATAGATTCATTTCTTATTTTTAATTATAATATTAATTTATTATTTAATTTTATAATTATAATTATAATATTATTAAATTTTATATAATTGAAATTAAAAAAATCAGTCATGTTCAAAATTCAGACCAATTGGTCAAATGATTTATCATAATTTTAGCTGGTATTAAAAATTAGCAAAAATCTATTATAATTCAAGCATTACATTTAATATTCAAATGATATATTTCAAAAACTATCATAATAATTGTTTGATGTGATAAATTTAAACACAAAATTATAAAATAAATTTACTGAATAATATGTATATAATTTATAAAATTTTTATTAACAAATTATTATTAAAGATCTTAAGACAAAATCAGATATTAATAACTATAAATAAATTATTTGGTTAAGAAAATGAGCAATTATATGAAAAATTCAAAAAGTACAAATCCTTTAAGTTACCAAGAATTTTAATATTACTAATAACAAATTAGATAATGATATCTGATCTATTAAATATCAATACAAATCAATTAAAAGACTTAAAAGAACAGGTAAAAATGAAAAAATAGAACTAAAAAAGTAAAAATTTGTAAATCTTTGGTTAAATTTCAATTTTTGTATTTATTTTATTTTTTCTTTATTTATTAATGATTAGATTGAAATGAAAATAATATTTAAAATGTTACTACCTAAATTTAATCTCAAACTTAATAAAACTTTCACAAATAAAACTTATAGAAATCTTACAAAGGTTAATACCTAAAATTATTAATTTGATAAAATCTAAATATAATTCTTCATATGACTAAATAAAGAACTAGTTATAAGCCTTATATTGACACTAAAGAAGCTAATATAACTACTTTAAAAAAGTAAAATTTGATAGAAATAATAGAAAGTTACATAATAATAATCAATTTAATGAGATAAATAGATAAATGTTAACTATGAAAAAGATTTTTATTACTAACATTTTCACTGAATATAGAAAAGATTCAGATATTTTTTTTAAAAAATGATGAATAAATACAATAATATAATCAAGTATAACTTTTAAAATTAATAAATGATATTTAATATTATTCTTCAAAACTTTCAGAAAATAAATGATTAAAATAAAAAAATAAAAGATTATTATATACAACTTATAAAAAAGATCTAATAAAATATTATTTGTTTATTTAAATATAAGAATTTTTAATAAATATTAGACTTTATTTATTATTATTAGATAAAATATCTCTTTTATGAAATTTTTGACTTTTATTTATTTGTTTAACAAATATCATAACTTATAAAGCATTAAAAATATGATAATAATAACTAAACATATAAGTTACTATGCTTTTTAAATACTCTAGAATGTAATATAAAATATAATATACAAACAGACTTCGAAGAATCAGATTTTAAAAAAACTATATCTATTTCTTCATTATCAAATGATAAAGGTAAAACATATGAAATTTAGGATAAATTTTATTAAAAGATAAATAGCAAAGATTAATTGATAATAAATATACTCCTTTTCTAAAAAGCATTACAAAAAAAATTATAAAGAGAAATATATGTATTAAATGATTTTAATAGAAAATTTAAATCAATTATAATAATATTTTAATTTTATATTTTTTATGTATATTTTATTTAACAAAATGTTTTTAATACATATATAATATATATTTTATATATTTTTTAATATAAATTATTAATAATATAAAAGTATTATAAACACTTATAAATTATAAGAATTTTGTCATAAAATTTATCAATCAATAGTATAAATTTGTTATGTAATTTTATAGTGAAAGTTTATAGAATTTTTATTAAAAAATTATTAAATCATCATGTAAAATATTATAAAATTTTATTTTTGAATGATTGTTGTTTAGTAACTAATCTACTTCAGTCATCATATATAATAACTAATCAACAGGCAATTAATTTTTAATGATCTTTTAACATAAAATTGAATATATAGAAATAGATAATTTCAACTAGTGTAAAAAATTTTAGTTCAATCATGTTTCTAAAAATTCTATTATAATTATTTTATAAAGAAAAAATAGATTTTATTTTAATTTTTTTGGTATTTTAATTATTGATATTTCTATAGTTATCTTTTATAATATATAATATACAGTTTTATTGCTATTCTGAATATTATATATTTTTATTTATATAATTTTTTATGATACTGTAGATATTGAAGCTAATTGCATAATGTCTTTTATTATTTTTTTAGTAACATGATCTATCTGACTATATACAAAAATAATTTATCATAAAAATCTAATAAATTATTATATAATTTTATTTAATTATTTCTTTATTATTATTAACGTGCAATCTTTTCAGATTGTAACTGTTAGACATAATATTAGAGAGTTGACTCTTTTATAGTTTATATAATAAAATTTATAGTTTTTAAGTTAAATAAAGTTTTATTGTATACTGAAAAATATATTCAAAACTTTGATAAATATATAATTTATCTACTACATATTACCAAATATATTAAATACACTATCAAATATATTTTTATATATTAAATTAAAATAAATATTAGTCATATTACTAATATAAAATATTACAAAGAAGTCTCAGGTAAAAAAGATTTATTAATAAATAAATAAACTAAAAGATAAAAATACTAAAATAAGAAAATACAAAAAAGAGAATTGATTACAAATAAGAATGAGTAGTCTTATGCTATCTTTACAAAAAATAAGGTTACATATAGCTATCATTTAACTGATTAGATTGTATCTAAGTTATTTTTTATAATAAATTTAGTTCTCTATATATATATTTAATATTATATCAAATATATTAACTAGTGTTTTTCACAAGCCAGCTTATAAGAAGCACTAATATTAATTATATTAACTATATTAAGCATATTAATTATATTAAACATATTTAATATGTTAAATATATTAAATATATTTAATAACTTTAATATTTAATATTACATCACATTTATAGATTATATGTAGATCATATAATTATTATCTTATAACATTATTCTTTATTCATTTTCAAAAAATATGATACTTATTCTATCAATAATTTTTTTTAATCATATATCAAAAAACTCTTATTTTGTATTTATATTTTTCTTGATTAATAATATAACTTTTATTATATTTACTAAATTATAATTTTTTTAAAATAAAATTGACTTTATTCTTAATATTAAAGATAAATTAAAACTAGAAGTATTTGGTTTAAAGAAAATTTTAATTATTTACTATTAAATATTTTTTTACTTTTAAAAAACTTGAACTAAGAAGCAAAAGAATTAAATTTTTTATCAATTTTTTTATCAAAAACAAAAATCTTATTCTGTTTGTTATAAACTAAAAGTCCTTCTATATACAATATTTTTTTATAAAAAAAAACTGATTTGC